TTTAAAGACTTCCCCAGGGAGCTGAGGTTATCTATATCAGCAGTTCTCAAACTTAATCATATGTAAGAATCAACTGGAGAGTTAACATCCACTTCCTGAGCCCTATCCCCAGCAATTCTGACTTAGGGAACCCTATATTTTCATGTCCAATCTTCTCACAGGTGACGCCAACAGTACTAGTTCGAGGACCATACATTGAGAGCTATTGGACCTTAAGAACCACAGGGCCAACTCTTGGAGGATGTTCTATTGGCCAAGAAATAACAGGCTAGAAACCTCCAAGATGCCATGTGTCCCAGCTCTGTGGTCTTCACAATCCTTCCCAAGGTCACCAAAACCCACATTTTCAGATTTGTATTATCACTCCCTTGCCCTTAAGCAAGATGTCTGAGGAAACTTTGCTTTCCTGTGTGTACATATGTGGTTCTTTCCACCTGGAATGCTCTTGTCTGTGTGTAAATAGCATTCATCTTTAAAGGCCCAGACACATACTGTGTACTCCTCATCTTGGGCAACACTGTCAAACAGAAATAATATCCAAGCCACAAGCAAGAGCTATATATGTAAGTTCAACTTTTCTAATAGCCACATTTTAAAAATTAAGAAGAAACAGGTGAGATCAGCAGTAAATTTTATTTAACCCAATATATGCAAAATTTCACCTTTTTAACATGTCAATAAAGAAATTAGCCGGGCTCGGTGGCTCAACCTGTAATCCCACGCCTTTGGGAGGCTGAGGTGAGTGAATTGCCTGAGCCTGCAAGTTTGAGACCCTCCTGGACAGGCGAGTCCTCATCTCTACAATAAATCAAAAAATTAGCTGGGCATGGTAGCGCACGTAATTCAGGCTACTCGGAAGACTGAGACGGAAGGATCGCCAGAGCCCAGCAGGTCGAGGCTGCGGTGGCCGGGAGCGGCCACTGCACTCCAGTCTGGGTGACAGACTGAGACTCCAACTCAAAAAAAAAAAAGAAATATGGACTGGGTGCAGTGGCTCATGCCTGTAATTCTAGTGGACCAAGGCAGAAGGATCCTTTGAGGCCAGGAGTTCAAGACCAACCTAGGCAACATAGGGAGATCTCCATATCTTTAAAATAATTGCTGGGTGTGGTGTCGTGTGCCTCTAGTCCCAGCCATTCAGGAAGCTGAGGCAGGAAGATCACTTGAGCCAAGGAGTTCAAGGCTGCAGTGAGCTACAATTGTGCTTAGAGAGCAACCCTTGAACCCTGCCTCATGGCCTGCAAAGCCTACAGAAGCATCTTTCAGACAGGTACCTGCCGGAGACTTAGTGTGTCTCTCCCGGGCCTGGTGACTCACTGTCCTGCAGGATAGTGCCTCTCTCAGCCTGGGTGACAAAGTGAGACCCTACCTCTAAAAAATAATAATAATAAATATATTTTCCTTTTTTCTATTCCATACTAAATCTTCAAATCCAGTGTGTATTATATACTTACAATACATCTTAATTCGGGCTAGCTACATTTCAAATGCTCAGTAGCCACAGGGGACTAGTGGCTATCATACCGGGTAGCACAGACACCAACATATTTTCTTTCTGCTCTGAATTCTCTCAGACCTCTTTGAATATCTCTCTTAGAACATGTATCACTTTCTTGTTTTTATTGTTAGTCTGTTTACAACTTGGAGGTGCTGGCTATGTTTTAATGCTGCTGTTTTTATCCTGAAGTAGCCAGCACTGGCCTCTATGGAGGACATGATCAATGGACATTGGTTGATGAATGAATGTAGAAGCATGTGAACACAGGTGACAGAGAAGGCCCCTGGGAACATGTGACTTTGAGGGTCTCCTCACAGTCACTGTGACATTTCTTTCCTCTGGTTTGTGCATGGCTATTGGATCTTAAGGAGAGAATAATTCAAGTTTCAGAACTCACCCCCCCCCCCAAGTTTCCTGTTTCACTTTGCTCTTCAACTCAGTGCATTAAAAAAAAAAAAAATCCCACCAGGAGGGCCCAGGAAACAGGAAAAATAGTTGTGCTATTGGTTTCATGTTTGGAGAAGAACAGGGTTTCACTATCTCCGTGGCACTTGGCGTGAAAGTGGGCTTTGTTGCTGGAGACACTGCTCCCATTCAGGGCCCCCTTTCCCAGCTGCTGAGAGCCGGGCTGTGTTTTGACAGACGGGCCGAATGCAATGCAGACAGTTGTTTTAATTTCCAGCCAGATGCAGACATCACTCACAAGGAGCCCGAAACCCAAGAAAGGGAGGCTAGGCACTGGACCACTTCTCTCAGGCCTCGGGGGGTTGGGTTGCAGGAGGTCAGCGGAAGCCCCCAAGTGGCTAGGATCCCCAGTATCCTGGAGGACTGAGAATCACCAGGCCTGGGAGAGACACACTAAGTCTCCGGCAGGCACCTGTCTGAAAGATGCTTCTGTAGGCATTGCAGGCCATGAGGCAGAGTTCAAGGGTTGCTCTCTAAGGTGGTGTGAAATCAGTTGGTGGTGGTGATGCCTGGATGTTATCTTTTAACTGTAAAGCTGTACAGGATAAAAATCATACATAGTTGCAGGAAGGAGCTAAGTAAACCATGGGAAATCAAACCCTGGAAAATCAGAATGAGAAGGGACTAATGCAGCCTTCCTCTGAGGGCAGAGTCCCTTTTACAGCCTCCCAGACAAATGTCACCTTGACTCTGCTTCTGCATGCCAGTGATAGTTGTTCCTTCAGAAAGTCAGGCTGGTGGATTATTGGACAACCCTGACTTTGTTATGTCAAGCTTTTCTGAAATGTTCCACCCATAGGTCCTAGTGCAGTCATACTATAGCCCTTCAGACATTAGAAAATAGCCTCCATGACTACCTTGATACTCCTCTTCTTTGAACTAAATAAACATCCCAGGTTCATCAGCTGAGCCTCAGATACCGCATCTGGTCCTACCACATCCTGGCTTCCTATCCTCTGGGAAGGCTCTCTGGCTGAGCAGTACCCCTCTTAGGGCAAATCCCAGAGACCTCCGCTCAAAACTCCTTTGTGTGGGGCGGTCTCTCTCTTGATCCTGACATTACGTGTATTTACATAACCTCTGATCAAATCAGCTCCTTTAGTTATCATCTCACCCTGTCAGGTCATAACAGACTTGAGTCAATTCAAACCCCCCATTCTATTACATCTGAGCTATTTCAAACCAACTATCCCCAACCTACACCTACAGTATCAAGTTTTTAAGCCAGATTGCAAGATTTTACACTCATCTCCCTTCACTTTATAGTTTTATTATTAAAGAGATGTTAGGGATGCTTAAAGCTGATCATGTCACTCACAGAAAAGCCTTTTATATAGAATGTTAAGTGTGATGACATGATAATGATGGATGGGGGCAACCAACAAAGAAAAGGGAGGCTTATCCCTCTCCCCACTCCCTCCAGTATATACCCCACACTCAAGTTATACTGAACTTATCTATGATTTTTATTTTTATTTTTTCGAGATAGGGTCTTGCTCTGTCACCCAGTCTAGAGTGCGGTGTTGCAATCATAGGTCATTGCAGCCTTGAATCCCTGGGCTCAAGCAAGTCTCCTGCCTCAGCCTTCTGAGTAACTGACTACAGACACTCACCACGCCCAGCTCCCATGATGACTTTTGCTCATAATAATCCCTCAGCTGGGCATGTCTTTCCAGGTCTCCACATCTAGCCCCCTTTTACCCTTCATGACTTACCCTTCCTTTTCTGGCTCCTTCCTTCTGACAGGTTGTACTGGCTGCCTCTCCTCTAAGCTCCCAAAACTCTCAGCGCTGGTGCCAATCCCATGCAACAAAAACTCAGCACAATGTAGAGCAACTCTAGGTTTGTAATTACCAATTCCCACTGGACTGAGGGGCTCTGCGAGGGCAGAATGTGTGTGCTGCTTGCTATTATTTCTCCACTGCTCAGCACTAGAGTCTCTGCAGGATTGAGATCTGATAAATTTGCTGAGTGAACAGTGTGGAGGATCCATCCCGAACCTCTCAGGAGGACACTGTGAAGGTGTCTCCATCATATCCTTTGTCCCTCTGCCAGAGGCAGAACACTGTGCTTTGGGACCACAGGTTGTTAGCACTTGAGCTCACACATCTGGTATGTGGGGGACCTCCATGCCCTAACGAATGAGAACCCATTCCCAGCCCAGCAAATGTTTTTGCAGCCCAGCAGCCTCCTGCCCCAGCCAGTGACAGATACCTAAGACATAGCAAATGGAGCACTTCAATCCTCCAACCCCCTTGCCTGGCCTTTATTGTCATACCTGCTGTTCAAGTCAGGGTGAGTAATATCTAAACAGGCCCAGCTCAAGTCCCTGCAGGGTCCCACCAGAAAGTCTGGAGGAGGTGGCACGGGCTGCACTCTCTGGCGGGGGCAGGTTCTTGATTTGCAAATTCCCACTTTCCAGGCAAGACAGAATCATCCAGACAACTCTTTTCTGTGGATGTTCCCATTTAGCCCGACTTTTCAAAGGATTGGGAGATTTACTAGAGAAACTGAATGCAGACATCAGAGAATGGGATAATTGGATCCAGGTGGTATATTTGGTTGGCTGTAAAGAGCCTGTACCATACTATGAATATTATTTGATGGGAAAAGTTTCTCCTCTCCCTTTGTAAATGTGTTTGTACAGGCAGGATGTCTCAACCCAAGCCCAGCTGAAAGCTCTTCAGAGATGAGTTTGTGTCACTCAATAGCCTTTCAACAGAGTTAACCATTTTCAGCACTTACCACAAGGCTTGCCCTGCTCTCAGGAGGACGTTAGTGGCGGGCAGAAATAGAGCGGTAGATTTGCTTCCACCTCTGATCAAGAAGTCTTGGGTCTGCCTCTCAGAAACACATTCTCCTTAGCCATACCTGCTTTATACAGGCAAAGAACTGAGCACATGAAGGCCACCAATTAATCCCCCAGTGTCATCCCTTTAGGGCAGGTGACAATGCAGGTAGGTGTAGGTTCCTTTGACACACATCTGCTAGTTGTCATAATCTGACCTCTCTGTGCTCTCTTTCCTTTCTCTGCCAGGTCACCAGGGTTCCCGTGGAGTCATGTGAACAGTACACGACTTGTGGAGAGTGCCTGAGCTCAGGGGACCCTCACTGCGGCTGGTGTGCCCTGCACAACATGTAAGTTTTGAATGTTCTGGAAAAGGACCGGACATGCAGAAGACCGGAAGCTTTCCTGGGATGATGGGACATGACAGCAGTTTGCAGAGAGAGAGGAATAGCCCCCTATGGAGTAGTCATTCTAATCATGGCTCCAGTGTTGAGAGCAGGAAGAAGCAGAGAGGACATGAGTGGGCCTTCTTAAAAGTGCAGTGTTTTCACTTCTCTTGTTTCCTTTTACTTCCAAATAATACCCTCCCAGCTGCTCTGAAGCTACATGCCTATACCCGTGTATCTTTGAGACAATTCACAGGGGAAGCTGTAGAGTCAGAAATGTTCCACTAAACCCCCTCAGTGTTGCCTGAAATAGGTGCTCCAGTCAAAAGCATGCAGACAGAGGTGCACTGGTGTTGGAGGTTTAGACTTCAGCTAGCTGCTATGTGACCCTGGGTGGTCCACTGACAACTCCAGGCCTCTGGTTCCCCATTGCTATTTAGGGAAAATGCCTCTTTCACAGGTGAATTGTGAAGTCTAAATGAAATAATAAATGCTTTGGAAATAAGGAAGCCCAGAAAAGGCTACACAAATCAAAATAATTATGGACCCTGCACCCTTGGGAGGACCCTTCTGGTCTCATTATTTCATGACTCCAAGTCTGCATCTCACTCCAACTGGCCTTATCCTAATTCCAAGTGCCCCAGAGGGAGAGAAAGGGTAAAAACCCCGAAAGACAGGAGCTGGCTAGGAATTCTGTTGCCCAATGGAGTTGGAGACTCCATGGCTCTGTGCCAGCCAGCAAAGCATCTCCATGAAATGTGCTGGGTTTGGGGTGGAGGCGGAGGCAGAGGGCCAGAGTTCAGGGTCCTGCACAATAGCTCTTGGCTTCCAGCCTCTGCAGCAGGTGTTGAGAGGGCTCTGGAGGGAGGGAGAGAGGCTTGTGCCTCACAGATGCAAAATCTGGACTGGATTTGAGCCCACGAGTACTGGGTTTCCTGCTTGTGTTTTGGAGGTAAGAAACTCCTCAGAAAGTTTTGCAAAAATGCTCTTAGCAAAACCTGAACAGTGAGTTTCTATTTAGGTCAGACAAGCAGTAGAGACTCTGATGCCACCCACATTGTACCCCAGAAATGGCAAAGGGGGTAAATTTGGGTCCCCTCCAGTGAGGCTGCAGGCCCTCCCCTCAAAAGAATTCCTCTAAAGAACCTGACAGCTCACCACCAGCTCTGTGCAAGGAGCCCTGAACTCCTTGCCCTCTCTCTCTGCAGCAATCATGTTCTATGGCACCATCTACTCCCCACTCTTCCCCACTCTGCCTTCCCAGCTTTAGTGCCTGGGGCATTGCTCCATGTAGAACACTCAATATTATAGACCAGGGATTATTATTTGTTCAGCAGTGAGAATATTTGCTTTCCCTAACTTGTGCTATCAGCGGTGCCCAAGTCTCCCAGCTGCTCCCAACCACCCCTGTTATCCCCCTAGTCTAGGTTGGTTGTGGCTGCTAGAATGACTGAGCCATATCAGGAAAGTCCCAGATTTCCTCTGAACCCTGAACTTCTTACCCATGTCAGAGAAACCTACCTACCTACCTACCAGGGCACTCCTCTCCCGGCTACTCTGCTTGTCAAGAGTCCCTGGGGAACAAGATTTTTGCTCTTTATAACCTGAGGTTTCTCCACCTCTGGTGACTCTCATTTTCACCAGATTCCCCTGCAATGGCCTCCCACCTGCCTTGCCTGCCTGGGTAACAGGGGAATGAGGAGATGGAGCAACCTCTAACTCCCAGGTTCCGGCCTCTTTCATGAGGGATGAGGAGGATTGCTGAAGCCTCTGGGTCTGGTCTGGGGAGGGATTTGAAACCTTCCTGTCTCTTCTGTATGCCTTGCTCTTGCAAGTGTGTTATTGTCTCCCAGGCTATTTATCTCTGTTAGGGCTGTTGCCATAAATAGTATGATAAAAAAGAGCCATTTCAGTGAGTCAATGAGATAAAGGCTCCAGTCAAGAGCTCACTTTAGAGCTATCTTAAGGATTCACTTAAACCTCAATAATTCTTTTCTTTGACAGCATTCATATTTAGATCCATTATGTGCCTGGAAAGGAAGAGGGGGAGGAGTTTGGGGGGGAAGTTAGGGTACGAATCACTGCTTGATTGTAGAATCTTGTAGTGCCCGGATGGATGGCTATTTGGTTTGGAGAGGCACCAGCCCTGGAGCGTGTTTCCAGGTGGCAAGGCAGGCAGTAACAACGAAGCTCTTGAGTGCTGCTGTCACCTATCCACCTGCCACTGTGGGCAGAGGAGCCTAGAGCCAGAGATGAAGATGTAGGGAGAAACAGCCACACAAGCTTTCTGACAGAGGCAGCCCTGGCTGCGGTTTCTTGGTTGTCTCTCTGTCTCAAGGCATTATTTCACGACACAAACATTTATTTAAAATAAACCATGTGACAGGTAGAATATCCCAATGAATAAAACATGGCCACTGCCTTCAAAGAGCCATTAATCCAGTCACAAGATCACATGCACACTGTCCCATACAGCTAAGACCCTCTCCTATTTTTTAAACTCTTCTAGGGAGGCTAAGGATATTAATCATTGCCAGCATCATTTATATTAATATTATAAGGGCTAACACAGACATGGCACCTACTATGTGCCAGGCCATATTCTAAACAGTAATTCCTTTCATTCTTATACTAAACCCTATGAAGTAGATACATCATCTTTATCTACAGCTGAGGAAAACTGAGGCAGAAATAGATTAAATAGCTTGCCCACGGGGGCACAGCTAGCAGGTAAGAGACCTGGGTTAGAACTCAGGCATCCTGGCCCCAAAGTTCATATGCTTAGCCTGTTGCAGTGCTGCTTCTCAAGTCCCCCAAACTGCCCTCACTTGCTCATCTCAGCATCCCACAGTGCTGTCCAGTTATTCTTTATTTCTAAACTGCATCTCTCATGTTGTGGATTTATCCTCCTTCCTCTTAGTCTGTCCTTAGCAGCAATAGAGAACCTCTGGGAGTCACCTAAGTCTTCTGGAGTACCGTGAAAGTCGTCATGAGAAGACAGCACAGGCCTCAGGACAGCAAATTTCCCTTCCTGCCCAGGGGACAAAGGGGCCAAACAGATGGGTCCCAGAGGCCTGACCTCTTGTGAATCTGTGTTTGTGGCAGGTGCTCCCGCCGGGACAAGTGCCAACGGGCCTGGGAACCTAATCGATTTGCAGCCAGCATCAGCCAGTGCATGAGCCTCGCAGTGCATCCCAGCAGCATCTCAGTGTCTGAGCACAGCCGGTTGGTAAGTAACTCGTCTGGGGGAAGGTGAAAGGGAACACAGCATGCACCTGTGTGGGGATGCTCCTTGAACACTTGCACAAGTATCTGTAAATTGATCGGGCTTTAAATGCTCTAAGGAAACTTTATCGCAAACCTATGGCAATGCCTATTGTACAGGGCACAACCATTCTCCAGGCTACCTGCAAATTCATTACCCATTGATCTGTTTTGTAAATCTAGATTTTGCATTTAGTAACAAACATCTACAACATAATGCAATCCAATACCAAATGATACATTCTTCAGTATCTGCTGTATGTACAATTCTCCACTTGCTACACTCTCTCACAGAAATCTGTGAGTTACCTTTGTGTGTGTGTGTGTGTGTGTGTGTGTGTGTGTGTGTGTGTGAGAGAGAGAGAGAGAGAGAGAGAGAGAGAGAATAAGAGCCAGCGAAAGACTGAAACTCAATTTGAAGTCAGTGTGTGCTTAAAGAGAATAAAATAGTTCTTAACTACCTGTTAAGGTACAACTCAAAATATTTCATGTCCTCAGGCTCTGAATATTATTTCATTCTGATGGTTTTATGAGCATTTGCGAATGTTAATTAGCTAATGAACCTTCCAAGACTTTGATTCATTCATCCCCACCAGGAGGTTTTGGCTCCAGTGGAGCTGAGGGAAAAAACAGGGGAGTTTGCACCTAAGTCTCTTGGCCCCATGAAGACAAAACTGGGACAGAGCTTTGGCAACAAACAAATGTATGGAAAGGCTAGGTGATGTCCACTGGGACTGAGAAATGCACTGCAAATAAATAGCTTTGGATGTTGGTCAGAAGACAAAGGGAAACCTACTACATCCCGATCCTCAACTTGGAGTTTACAGGGATCTTATCGCCATGAGCCCTGTGGGTACTCCTCATGGGCCAAGGAAGCCAGTCGCATGTCTTAATTATTTATACCACTTCGATACTGTTTGTGGTAATTGAGTACACACTCATTTAAAAGTGCAGTAGATTTAGAGCAGCATTTTGTCATGAAATATTTTCTCAATCAACAGATTCTTCTGAGAGTCTGATATTTTTACCATTAAGAGGAGGGTCTTCAAATTCAAAAAAGCTGGAAACCACTGGCCTAGATGATTGGGACCCATGGGTAAGAGCTAGCTATCTCCCACCAACCTAGTGAGCTCCTACTAAGCCTCCAGATTGGGGAGATTTGCTCCTATGCGCCAATGACAAGGCCTTGTTTGTGAAGGGCTCAGCTCATGACTCAGTTTCAAGTTTGCAGAGTGCTTTGCAATTAATTTTCTTCAAAATGAGCAGAGACTGAGATAGACTTTAGTACCTTTCCCTTCAGTGCCCCCACTTCCCCCAACTCATTGCATTCTGATGCCATACAAAGTAGAAAAGTCAATGCATAATAATATCAATAAAGACCATTGACCCTGCACACCATTGAACAATTACTTACTGTAATTGTTCAGTGTCAAAGCTGAAAGACTATCCAGATCAACATCCTTCTTTTATAGATGAGGTCAGGGGAGATCAGTGGGCAAGTAGGTCATGATGGCAGAGCCAGGCCCAAAGCCCAGATTTCTCCTGAGCTCTTCCTGTGTCATCATCTCTTTGTTTCTGGGCCTCTTTGCTCCTCCCGCAGCTCAGCCTGGTTGTGAGTGATGCTCCTGATCTGTCTGCGGGCATCGCCTGTGCCTTTGGGAACCTAACAGAGGTAGAGGGGCAGGTGTCTGGGAGCCAGGTCATCTGCATCTCTCCTGGGCCCAAGGATGTTCCTGTCATCCCTCTGGATCAAGGTAAGAAGTATCTGCAGAAAGAGTCGTGTGTGAGGGGCTGCTCTACTCTGGTAGGAATGAGAGATTCACCAGCCACAGAAGTTGCCTGATCCAGTGTTCTTATACCAGATACTAAAATTGGGTAATGCAACTTGTTTGCATTTGAAAACACACTGTCATACCCCAAAGTAAATTTTATTTTATTTTATTTTGAGTTGGAGTCTCACTCCATCGCCCAGACTGCAGTGCAGTGGCACACTCCCGGCCACCACAGTCTCGACCTGCTGGGCTCAGGCGATCCTTCCACCTCAGTTTTCCAAGTAGCTGGAACTCTTATTGTAGAGATGAGGTCTTGCCAAGTTGCCCAGGCGGGTCTTGAACCCGCGGGCTCAGGCAATCCACTCACCTCAGCCTCCCAAAGCGCTGGGATTACAGGCTGAGCCACCAAGCCCGGCTCCAAAGTAAATTTTAGGAGAAGGAAAATCCTTGTTGTCCTTCGGGTTAAGGCTGCACAGTACACAGTCTTTCCAGATTGCCCAGTCCTTCTAGGAATGGGAGTGGCTTCCATCAGTGGTTTTCAGTGGGTTTTCTCCACAAAACTAGGGGCTTTGGACTAATATGTCTGAAATTCTGAAATTCTTTCAATAATTGAACATGGATGACCAAGGAAAGGGCCCCCATGGGATCTATCCCTTTCTTCCTATGAGTCGGGGATATCTGGGTTTGAGGGATGGGCTGGTATTCAGCCAAAGAAATTCTCTTGGGAGCAGAAGAGATGGTTCAGTCAGATTCCATTGCCAACTGCACCCCAACAGAGCCCTAGCATAGTTTCTTCATCTACCCTTTACCTCCAGGCTGTCCACTGAGTCTCCAGGTTGTCACCCACCCCAATATATTTTTTTTTTCAGACTGGTTTGGGCTTGAACTGCAACTGAGATCCAAGGAGACAGGGAAGATATTTGTCAGCACCGAGTTCAAGTTTTATAACTGCAGTGCCCACCAATTGTAAGCACTTATTAGAAGTCCTGTTCTGGATCTGAATGTGGGTGTGTGTGGGGAGGGTGTTCTTCAATTCTAAGCTCCTTTAGGACAGGAATCATGTTATAGTCACCTTATAGTCTCCCTATGGTGAGTGCCTGGTACACTGTTTGGACAGAGTATTCGGTGCACAGATGTTACTATATGAAACTGAATGCATTCACTCTCTACAGCCTCTGATCTCATTCAGTCTTCCTTAGCCCCCATGCCCCAACACACCCTACCCCAACTCTCAAGCCAAGACAGTAAAAAGAAGGTCATGCATGGCACAGGAACCATAAGAAAAATTCTCCAGTTAATACCAGTTGGTGGTGGCTTTGAAGGTAAAGATTGACAGTAAGTGGAGTTTTAACTTGCCACCCATAACCAAGTGAAGCGGGACGCTAAGATAGTCATCTGTGCACAGTTACCTACAGGGGAGGAGCAGTGGATGGAGAAAGTATCCTCTCTCAGCACACAATAAAAGGACCTGAGTGAGAAAGGAGAAATGGAGACTTAAACAGTACCATTTTTCAAACTCATCCTCAATTTGCATAGAGAAGGGGAAACCAGACAGACCAAGCCACCACCAACCTCCAGAGACGCTTGAGTTCAGCTCAGCTGACCTCATCAGCCATCTCCAGCTTCTGAACACCTGCCAATTAGCGCTTACAAGCTATAAGATCCCACAACTGTGCAGGAAGCTGGGTGCATTTCACAAGGAAAAAGCGAAGTCAGGGATGGAGGAGAAAGAGATCCTTATTTAGTTTCTGCTGATCCTCACTGGCAGAGAATCTGAGACCCATTCCACAAAAGCTGGAGCTCATGTCCCATTTGGTTTACAAAGAAGGAAGCATAGGTGTTTATAATAGGGCCGCATAAGGGTCCTAGGACCAATAAATGGACAGCCACCAAGGAGAGAGGTCAAGTAACAGCTCTATGCCAAAAGGAGTAGTAATTGGAAATATTCTATGACCCCATCCTTCCCATTGCCCAGGACAGGGATCACTTGAGATCTATATCATAGGCAGAATGCCATGGGCATCAAGACTATATGTTCCAAGCTGTGGGCACAATGGGTTTAGCAATCAAGGTGGGAAGAGGATTTGTTTGTAGATTAAACCCTAAAGGAATGTTTAGACATTAAAAGAGACAAATGAGCTAATCCTCCTTAGTGTCCATTTTTCTAATCTTGATTTTCATGATTAGAAAAATCTTCTGGAGTTCTAGGGTCTCTATAGTTAGTCAAGGAAGGAGACATATACGAGGACCCTTGGGAAAAGTCAATAGATGTACTGAGATAGAACAAGTGGTTAAAATGACCTGGTAGGAACTAGGGAAGGGCAGATAGTGACTGAAGCTGAAATAGACAAAATAGCCCATTAACCACTACATCCCAATCCCAGTTAACCCTACTTTGGGAACTGTAAGCACCTTGAAGAGAGGACCTCTCACGGCTTTCTCAAAAGAAAAGGTGGTAATGGAATCCATGGTCTGTGAGAGCACCCTCATCTCCATGGCAACCAAGTATGATGTCACCACTTTCTAAGACACATTGCTATGGCAACAGAGATGCTGTCACAGGCAGCAAGTTTTAGCAGAAAAAAAGCAGGTCTCCTTGACAGCCAAGATTCCATTTTATTGTCAAACACTATCTATCTATCTTACCATCTCTACTTTTGACATTCATATTTAAAAGTCACAGAATCAAGTTCAGTCCCTTCCTTTTAATATGATAAACTGAGGCCTACAGAGGATAAATGCTACATATTCGCCAGTGGAAGTGTCTGTCTGACTAGAGTGCCAGTACCATTGTCTTTAGGTCTTGCAAGAAGCAGTCCATATAAGAGTACATGAAATAGCAGTGGCCTAAGTTCAGAAACTAAATAACTGGGCATATGCAAAGAAGGGGTTAAAAATGATCTGCAAGGAAGGATGCAGTGTAGATGGGCCAACACACCTAATACACGGTGGCCTGTTAGCCAGTGGCCCCTGGATTGAGCCCCAATTGCCCAAATATAATCAGAGCCCCACCAGGTGGCGCCAGTCTGCAGACTTGGTCCTGTCCATTTCAGATTGGATGGTCTAGTTGTGGAAGACTAGATAGAGTAGGGAAGCTGGCAAGGAGGAGGAACAGCAACCCAACCTACAAAATCTATTTCCATTATAATGCTCTGATCACACACAGCCAAAATAACATACACAATCTCCCAGTGAAACCGAAAGAAAGTGCTCACCCTGACAAGAAAGGTCTGTGTTGTGTCACACACATATCCTATTGTTCCATGGCTGGAATACTTGGGGAGTGAGACAAAGTTGCCATTTCATACTGTTAACTCCCCAAGACCAATAACACAGGTGATATGAACCAATCGTTAACACTCAAATGTTATTTAAGAGTTTGAAATAACAGGTAATTTAAGCACTTGAAAATAATACTTACATTTAGCATTGCACTTTTCAAAACCATTTTGTATACATTATCTCGTATGACACCAAATAGCTCTGTGACATAGAGAGGAATGTTTTATTACAGACAGATAAAGAAACTCCAATTCAGAGGGTGAGGTGACTTTCTCAGGATGAACTCAGTGGCGGTAGCAGAGGCAAGACTAGAATCAAACCTGCCCAATTTCTATTCCTGTGCTCTGTCAGCTATTCTGTCCTAGAAGCAGTGGTTTATCAGTAAGTGTTTAACTACCAGCAATCAAGGGAAAAACCTAGTTGGCAGCATTGCCAATTTCTGTGGTGCAAATATTTCTGCCATGGCCGATTTCAAGCTCCAAACATGATGTCCAGCAGCTTGCAAAATTCCTAAAAATATAAATAATCAGCTCTCATGAACTGGTACGGAAACACCACTGCTTTGTAAGTTACATTATCCTCTGGTCTCATTTTCTTTCCAATTTTCTGGTCCCATGAATATCTTGGATGGAAAATTCACAGTTCTCAGTGCTAGAGGATAACCCACCAGTCTGCCCTCCTGAAACTGAGATTAGGATTTAAACACAGGATAACAGACTTCTATCATGGCACATGGCTGGCTAGCCTGCCCTTACCTTCCCTCTACTGCTTCCTTCTCTTTGCCTCTTACCATATCCCTCTTTGTAGGTGCCTGTCCTGTGTCAACAGCGCCTTCCGCTGCCACTGGTGCAAGTACCGCAACCTCTGCACTCATGACCCCACCACTTGCTCCTTCCAGGAAGGCCGGATCAATATCTCAGAGGTAAGAAGGGCTCACTCTGATATGGCAATGTTCCCAGTGAACCTGAGTGGCTCCTCCCTTTTTAGATAGCCAGTCCAATGGCTTAGCTACCTCTTGTCCATCTTAGCCCCTCTTGCCAAAGATTCTGCATGTTAGAAAGCCCTGTTATGATAAAGTTTGAAAATGTGGTAGCAAGTGACCCCAGAGGCAGAGACTGTTTCTAATAGACTCCTAAGACTCCATGCATTCAAAAGCTTGAAGGTAACTTGGGGCTGCGACTCAAAGCTTAGAGGAAACATATCCAACCAAACAGACTCCCTGGTCTAGAAGAGTGTAGTGAATGGCATTTATTCTTTGAGTCTAGCCCTTTGCTTGGCTACAGACATAGTCTAGTTCAATAGAACATTCACTCTCAACCATTCTTTCATGCCAACTTCTCTTCCAACTCTAAAATTCAATGATTCTTTGACTCTGATGTTTGACTGGGTGGGTGGCCTTGCAGAAAGAGAGAGAAATTCAGCTAGTGAAAAGAACCAGGCATTGCTAAAAGTCCTATTTTATTATATAGTTGAAACTCCATCCCGAAAGCCTGACCCACCTTTGTTATCAACACAGTGAAATATCCATTCAATGATAATGCATTGATCTTGACTTTCTTGCATATTCATAGCATGTCTCAGGACAGTGAAACCTGCTTGGTCAGTTTCCCTTTCTTGTGTCTAATGCTTTTCATGTCCCAGGATGTCCAGTTGGGTTTGAACAACTGTAGAGACCTTATATATTCATACAAATTCAAATGTGCATATACACACATTTCCCTCTTATTCCAAATATTAGAAAATCCACAAATGTTGATAAGTGACAATGTAACACTTTCATATACTACTATAGCCTTTCTATACACAGCTGCCTCTTGCACTAGCTACAAGCTCCTTAAAGGCAAGGACTACATCTCATCTTTAAGTCCTCAGTGTCATATTTAGTAACTGTTTATAGAATGCATGCATGAAAGAATGGATGAACAAATGACCACTCTATTCAAACTCCATTGATGGAATTGTGTCTGCTTATCTAAGGTTTCAAGAAAGAGTCTTCTTATGTCTCCTAATTTGATGGCAGTGCTGGCTGCTTCCATGGCTAAACATAAGAAAGTAGACTGTGAAAGGTTTCCCAAATATATACCCATGTCCTTGAACTCTTCCTAGTTTCTGAAACAACATGTGTTGTACTCCATCAGAAAAATGGAATTTGCGTGACTTGAAAGGGAGAGACATAGATGGTACCCACCCATAGGTGCCATTTAAGACAGACCCATGCACAGGTGCCTCAGTATAGTGGAACCAGGCAGCCAGTACCCTGGGAACATTTCAGAAAAGGATTTTCCTGTGGTCAGTTTCCTGTAGCCAGCTTTCTTTGCTGCTGGCCTGAAAGCACTATGCTGGTCTTAGTGGACACTGGAAATTAATTCCAGCCCTGAAATTCTTCAAGGATATGAAACTGTTTTGTTTGTCAGTCTCTCACTCAGAGAAGAGGGCCCGAGAGCTGAAGTTTAGAGGTGGAGGTGGTCACCACAGCTTGGGAGCCAATGGAAGAAAGGCTAAGGGGAGTAGGCCACCCAGGAAGAGCAAAGCCCTAGGAGGCTTGGCGGGGGCAAAGGAGTGAGAGAGTGTGATACACAGTCTCAGAAACTGACCTTGACATAGGCCACTTCTAAACTTCTGAGTGCCTTCATAAAATAGATCGAGGAGGCCTCCAGGACACACAGAGAGAAAGGGTAAAGTACAGACCTCGACAAGAAAGAGCAGTTGCTTCACCTTTCCTAAGGCTAACCCCCTCCGGCAAAGAGAAACCCAAAGCCCAGCCTGAAAGGACCTGCAACTGGAGCAAGGGCAAGTGGAGTGTCACACGGAGAAGACAAATAAACTCTGCCGGGGTGTGTGTGGAGGCCTGGAGGGCTGAGCCCCAGAGGCTAATTGGAAACAGGCCCAGCCTCCCTCATACAGTTTAGAAGTCACTGAAACACAGTTCCCTCTCAGCCATGGACACTCAAACATTCCAGAGAGCTGGGCTCTAGCGAAGCTCTTGCCTCCTCCAACTCAGGATTAAATTAATATCAAAAGATCCCTGGGGCAAGCCCAAGGACTTCCCACCTCCTTTTGTTTCATTTTCTGTCCTTGATGTCTGTGCCGACATCGGAGAGGAGTGGGTCCTTTGTCTCCCCTCATCTCCACATCCCCCTTAATGAGAGCAGGGTGTACAGCTGCTCTCTGACACTCATGTGCACTGGCCCCTGGCACGGCACCAGGGATTGGCTCTCTGGAGGCCAGTGAGACCTGAGTGAAGCTCAGACTCTGTCCAGCTCCTGACTTTGCTCAGAAAAGGAAAGAGGGTGCAGATTCCCAGTGAGGTGCCAGGGCCACTTCCTGGGCTTCCTAAAATACTAGGTTAGCTTTTAGCCACAGCCCGCCATGCATCCCTTCTCAGCAAATAGCTCCCAGGCCCTACTCTTCTCTGTCCAAGGCTCTGCTTTAGGGAACCCCATTCCTTAAAATTTGAGAAACACCAAAGGTACTCATGCCCAGTTTGAGTAAGTTTCACCTTACTCTACCAGGAGTTCCATCTGATGTCTTGATGTTGTTTGGGAGACTAGAAATACCTTAGCTGTCTCTTTGGGGGTTCCTAGAATATCTCTTTTAGATTTCCAGTAAGCCTCTCTTCCCAACTTTGAATCAAAATTTTATGTCTGTCTGCTTCCTAGAAACAATATATATCTGATTAGCTCCATTGATTAATATAGCAACATTAATGTATCACACATTTGTAATTTTTTCACATGTGCCAGGAGTTCTCAAAGTGTGCCTGCCAGGGACCGGCAGCATCAGCATCACCTGGGGACTTATTAGAAATTTAAATTCTTGGGCCCCATCCCAGATAAGGCTAAAGATTGAGAACCACTGACATTTGGCATTTCAACTGATTCTCGCAACAGCTCTACAGTTTCACATAATTCATATTTGACATCTTTAGTAACCAAGATGCTAAAAATTTAGGTTTTTGCCCAAGGCTACAGAAAACTCACTCAGGCATCCAGAAGAGCTGAGTACAGTATGCTTTCTGCACAAAACCAGGCCCCACGAGCCTGTTTGTTTCCATGGCCACAGCCACACTGTTGGCTGGACTTCAACATGGCCTTTTGCTGTTGGTCAAGAGAGTTCCCAGTGTGGATGGACCAGCACAAATCCATCTCCACTGAGGGAAAAACTACCCATGGAAGATGGGTCAATAGTGCCATTTGCAGATAAAAAGACAGCCAGCATATGAGGGAAATCTGCCCACATCTTTCCAGAAGACTGATGGACCAATTCCACGCTTAGGCTTGACAACAAAGAACAGCTATGCTAGGGTGAATGCAATTCAAAAATAAAAACATTAATAGTTAATATTTATTGAGTGTTTATTATTTATGTAGCATTTAAATATATATATAAATCTCACTTAATCTTAAGTCCTCTATGAAGTGTATTGTCATATAGATGAATAAACTGAGGCTTAGCTAAGTTGAACAATTTCCCTACAGTCATCCGATAAATGCAGAAATTAGGATTCAGAGTTAATTTTCCAAGCTAGCTTGAATAAGTTGAAGTCTTCTGATCCTGCATTCACACACACACACACACACACACGAGAAATGGGCAGTAACATTAACAATTGTTAATCCAGTGTATTACCATTTACAATGTACTTTTATACTTCTCTTTAAAGCAATCAAGGGTTGTCAGGTATTATTGGCACCACCATTTTAGAGATGAGGAAACTGAATTTCAATTGAACCATCTTTCAAACTCTCTTAGGGGAATGAGCCAGACCTTTCCAGTGCTCAGAGCACAGCAGATCTCTGATGGGGCCTCCAAAATCTCTGCCACCCTGGGCCAGATCAGGCTGTGACATGGTGTTAGCCAGCGGTTGTGCGCAGGAGGATGTATGGCTTTCAGCTTTTAAAGCTCATCTCCCTCCATAGCTAAACCAGGCCTAGTGAGATGTAGATACATAAATATCTTCTTTATGCCCTGTCCCAGGGGAAAGATAGAACCAAATAAATCCGATTAGCTTCCCAGGATGCTGGCTGCTCTCTCTCTTTGAAGTCCAGTGGGTGAAGATAATGCCATTTCCACATGGGAGAAGTCGTTTCAGAGGGTTGAAGGGTCCCCAGCACAGAAAGCTGGCAGAGCACAACTGAACAGAGTGGACAAAGGGGCCCAAAATTCACAGGATTTCTACACCAGGGTCCTTGCCCTCCCTGCAGTTGTGTTTCCTCTTCCCCAGCCTACCCCCTGTCCTGGGATATTCCCAAACAGAAAATTTATTTATCTTGATTTATACTAATATCAGTGACCAGGTGCAGTGGCTCATGTCTACAATCCCAACAGCTTGGGAGACCAAAGCAGGAGAAGCCCTTGCAGCCAGGAGTTTGAGACCAGCCAGGGCAACATACAAGAACCTTGTCTCTACCAAAAAAAAAATTTTTTTTTAATTAGTCATGGTGGTGCATGCTTCTATTTCTAGCTACTACTTAGGAGGCCAAGGCAGGAGGATCACTTGAGCCTAGGAGTTCAAGGCTGCAGTGAACTGTGTTCACACCACTGCGGTCCATCTTAGGCCACAGAGACTCTGTCTCAAAAACTAAAATAAATAGTCAATTAGTAAATTTTTTAAAAATTTAAATAAACCATTCTTGTTGCTGAGGAGGTGATCCTGGCTCCACTTGGCCTGGAGTCAGAGGAGGAATAAGATGACCTAAAGAAGTTATTCAGAAATCTATGAGGATCAATGGTAATAATCCATATTTTAAGAATGTTAACAACAGTCTTAACATTCTGCAGAAGGAGGATCTTATGATTATTTGCTTTCTTGTTCTCGGGGCAGTTACTATACTTGTATTTCTTTGTGTGTGCCAGTGTGTGTATGTGTATGTACCCACAGACGCTAGCAGGTTGGAAGGGGCCTCACTATATCTGATGAAATCCATCCCTGTCCTCCAGCCCCAGAGGTACTGAAGTTCCAACAACCTGGCAATTTCCTGGGCTGCTAGGCTCCTGCCCCTGCCATCAGCCCTACCACTGCAGTTTCCACCCAAAATCACTGCTCCTCATGAACCTACTCACCAGAACCACCTCACAACCCAAAGGGTCTATATCTTCCCAGGTCCCAAAATGAAAAGAGCATACCTGGGCACCAGTCACTTCTGTCCTTTGTTTTAGAGAATAGAAGGTAAAATTCTATTCTGTCTGACCTGAGAGCAGTCGCCAAATAAACAAAGCATAAGACATTCTTTTTTTTTTACTGAGGCAATCTTGGAGCCTATTTCAGCATTTGGAGAAATCCTAATTGTTGTCCTTAAATTGAGTTCCAAAAGATTTGGAACAGCAGTTCATGGGAAATATTTCTGAAAGTTTAAAATTTTTTTTAAAAATCTCCTAAGTACGCGTAAAATCTACTTTTAGCCCAACCAAAGAGATGAAAGTGTGTATGTCTATGTGTATGACATAACACCTGTGTATACATGATTTTTGTCAAAGTTAAAAGGATTCTACAATCGTTTACTAATCTAAGACATCATGCTTCCAAAAGCACATCTTTAAGACCCTGCTAAAATTTGAATTTGTTGTCTAAGCTCATTAGAGATGAAAAACAACTGCTCATCATTTGCAATACATCAACTGCTTCAGCATCTGAAAATCTATCCCCTCTCCCTCTCTCTCTCTCTTTCTCTCTTTCTCTCTCTCTCCACACACACACACACACACACACACACACACGCATACATATGTGCACTCACATGCCATTATACTCCAGTCTTTTTCTAACTTGAATTATAAAGCTAACTTATAAGATTCAATGGGGTCTTTTTAACCACTAACAAGAAGTGTTATCTCCTTTTCCATGGGACGCCTGGGCTTCCCTAAAGTGGTGTTCACTTTTTTCTTCGCTATAAATATATGAAAGACTCTGTCAAGAGTGCCTGCAGGGAATGAAAGCAAAAGTGCAGTAAAGAGCAAGTTTATGAGTTGGCAGCTTGAGTGACTGGCTCCCAAACAGGGACCCATCTGTTCTGGGGTTGTCTTATGATTCTGTCTCTTGTGGAAGCTCTGCCTGCCTGGAGTCCTCACATGCAATTGGCCAGCAGACAAGGGGTGACACCAGTGAGCTGCTGTTCCATTCAGACCCTCCTAGATAGGTTGCTGTGGGGAATTTCCCCAGGACTAGCTCTTCGTCAGTCCTCAGAACTCCTTAATAGATATGAACATGCCACTTTAGAAATCATGTGACTCCAAAACCCATAACCATTTCCAACACCCAGCTTCTGAGAATTGAACATCTCCTCAAGTCTCTTGAAGCCCAGAAGGCAGGACTGTACCTCATTTCTAAAGAATCTACAGTGCTCTAGCTAAAAGGAAACTTTAAGATCTTTTCATGGGTTGCTTTATTTTCTTCTTTTCAATGTGCTCTCTCACAAACAATGACCACGTGCCCACTGCATGTCAGGCACTGGGATAAAGGCTGGGAATATGGAGGTGAATTCTCAAGACAAGGACTTGCAATTCTATGGTTCAAATGCAATCATGGGAAAATATCCATAACCCATCCTGAAGCCAGTGCAGGCGCAGGAGCAGGGACAGCCTTCCAGAGAAGGAGAAGCTGAGATGAGTTTGAAGGCTAATTAAGAGGTAATCAGCTAAAAGAGAGGCTGAGACAGGGCGGGGGTGGAGAGAAAGGCAAGGGATAGGAGGCAGGAGTGAGCATTTCTGATGGAGAGAAACGCATGTTCAAAGGGCCAGAGGCAGAGCCCGTGAGGGAGATGGCACCTCAGAACTAACCATACATTCTGTATGTCTGGACCATTACATGCAGGAACTCAGGGTTAGGAGGGAAAGAGGCAGGGGCCAGGTGCTAAAGGACTTGCAACTGATTTTCAGAGAAAAGAGGTGACAGCCCGCTCTCCCAGGTCCCATTGCTCAGCATTGCCAGCGTTACACAAGGCTTCTTTACTAAGATCACCTTTGGCATTAGGAGGACAATTTTTTTGTTGTTGGACACTGTCCTACACCTTGTAGAAAGCCCTGGCAGTAAATGCCAGTAACACCTTCTGCAGGCCTTGTAGCAACCTCAGCCCCTGTGCATTACCAAAAGTTCCCTCTAAGTACTACTGCCCAGGAGAAGGAGATAGGGAGAGAGGAGACTCCTGCAAGAATTTCCCTAGTTGACCCCTAAAGAGAGGAAGTATTCCCTGTGAAGGTGGTTTTCACACCCTCACTACCAGGGACTACTGGGCTCATCTTTGCTGGGGGAGAGGGAAAAAGGGAACATGGGAACTGAGGTGGAGGAGAGCAGTACTTTGACCCCACCTGCCCGCAGTGGAGAAGCAGCATCTAGGCCTAGAGCTCAATCTCTCTTTCTCACAGTCTTCCTCTCATGGTCCTTTCTGAAGCCCCTGTCTACCAAGGCGTTCTTGTTTGGGTTTTGTTTTCCAAAGCAACAGGCATTCACCCAGGGCCAGGTAGAGAAATGAGATAAAAAAGAGCAAGTGTTTAGAGTATCCCTGGGAGGTCTTGATCCACCTCCTGGAAAGCCCAGCTCAGTTGGGAGCTGAGGAGCTGAAGCTGCCAATAACGGACGCTTCAGTCATCGGACAGTCCAAGGGGACAGAGTCGCTGGAACTGGGGAACAAGATGAAACCCCCAGGTTGGGGGGTGACAACTTGGGGACAGGGACACATGGAGGCTCTTTTATCTAGTGTCTCAGGAGATAAAATCCACAGCCTGTCACACTGGTGTTTAAGAATTAATTCCTGAATTGTAACACACACAACAGATACAGGACAACTTTTCGAGTGGGGATGACAATATCAAAGCCCAGGAGCTAAGAGGAATTTCATTTTTCCTGCCCACTCAATGTGCCTCTTAAATGAGGTAATGTCCTTCACATGGGCGACACACCTGAAGGCAAGAGAATCTGGCCTGGCATCAAGGCCTGGTCACTGCCCTGGCCCAGGTGAGTAGAAAGGCATGAGCAGAGGAAGATAGAGCCTCTCTACTTTCTTCCCAGGACTGTCCCCAGCTGGTGCCCACGGAGGAGATCCTGATTCCAGTCGGGGAAGTAAAACCAATCACCCTTAAGGCTCGAAACCTGCCCCAGCCACAGTCCGGCCAGCGAGGCTATGAGTGCGTCCTCAATATCCAGGGGGCCGTCCACCGAGTCCCTGCCCTGCGCTTCAACAGCTCCAGCGTTCAGTGCCAGAACAGCTCGGTAAGAGAAGGGCTGGGGCCCTGCCTGGAGAGGGCTTTCTCTCACATGCAAAAACAGCAGGGTTAGGGGCGAGGGAGTCAGAGGTCAGAAGCTGACAGTCTTGCAACCTGGGCCCAGAAAAAGGAGGCATTGGCCCACAGGGACAGAGGAGCATGCAGCCACCTCAGGCTGTTCAGTCAGAGTAGAGCAGGTTTGTGGTGCCAGAGGAGGCATAGTTCTGTGAGGACACTCAGGGGAGAAACTGAGATCTTTGTGCCCTTTCTAAAGTTCAAAGAGCACCTCTTTGCCTTTGGTGACTCTTCTGCCAAAGCGAGTCGATTCCACCCCACAACTTGTCCCCATTTGGGAAGCAAATAAATGGGCGGGTGCTCCACAGGAGGAAAACTAAGGAGGAAATGCACAGGAAGTAGGATGGGATGAGGTGAGGTGGAAGGGGAGAGGAAGGGGGAAGCAGTGAATTTCAAGAGCAGCAAGGGTTAAACCAATCCTGAATGGCATACAGAGAGCATGAGGTGTTTAATTATAATACTAACCCAGAGAAGATCTTTTTATCTGCCAACTCCCTGTCTCCGACTGTGGGGGGTCAGCACAGAGATGGGGGGAGGGGGTGATGTGACAAAGGTGTTGAGGGAAGCTAATTCGCCTGGGAGAGATAAAGAAAATCTGGGCCTCTTATCAGGGAGCTGTCAGATTCCCGGGTCACCGGCGCTTGATAGAATTTGTAATCGGTGGAAGGCCGCCAAGCGCAAGGGGAGGGCGAGATGAGACGGAAATGGAACACAACAAAAGGAGGCAGGCGGCAGAGAAGGACTGGGGGCAAAAGCGCTGACAGTGACATGCCCTCCAGAGCAGAGTGAGTGGCAAGGCAGGGGTAGTCCCCGGGAGGAGATGCCCTGAGTTCTCCTTCACAGAGGTTGCTAGGTGGGTAGGGCTGGGCCACCTAGAGGGGCTGTTTCTGAAGCCTGTGAAGGGCCTAAAAGTCTTCTGTGTGATCAGCATGAGGGAGAAAGCAGACTCTTGGCCACAACTTGAAGCCTTTCATGTTAGGGCTGACCAGACCTATGCCCAGAAAGTTGTGGGTGCGTTTCCATAGTGAACTGTTGACCAAAGTACAGCTCATGTGCAGAGGGCTACCACAGAACCTGGCCAACGGAGTTCTCGATGATCATTATGCACATGCTCTGCTCCAGCCACTGTGGGGATTGCAGTGTAGTAAGAGGACATTGGCTCTGCCCCTGGAAACATATGGACTTTCTAGAGAGATTGGACTCGCTTATGAAAAGATGCACAGCAAACCCAGAGAAGTGCTGGTTAAAGACAGAAGCAGCAACACCGGGGGACAGAGAGTTTGGGGGAGGGCTGGCAGGGTTGTTGGAGAGGACACCAGGGAAGGTAGGTCTGAGCTGGACTAGAAGAATAAGACCCATTAAAGGGATGGCAATTGTAGGGAGAGGGTTGTATTCCCTGTAAGATGTGAACTCAACACAGACACAGAGAGGGACTTTAGCAGATATGTTTAGAACAGGTGTATTCAAAGACTTCTGTAGGAGACCAATAGAGGAGAAAGTTGGGAGAATATGTTTGAATCAGATTACAGAAGGCAGTGAATGTCAAGCTAGGGGATTTGGGCAGGATCCTGTTGGCATTAGCGTGGGAGTCAGGGAAAGGGCATCATGAAGATAATTTGAGCAGCACTCAGGGTTCCCCTGCATCCCTGACCCTCTCCACCCCTCCCTCTCCCCCCCATAGTACCAGTATGATGGGATGGATATCAGCAACCTAGCCGTGGACTTTGCCGTGGTGTGGAATGGCAATTTCATCATTGACAACCCCCAGGACCTGAAAGGTAAGCGGCTACTTCCGGGTAGAAGTTTGATCTTTTCATGACCCCAGGAAAGACTGGGGCTGGAGGGATCAGAGCCAGCGGGCCACTGTGCCATGAATAATACACTCCCTCTGTTAGCGGAACTCTTCAGAGGATCCTAAAGCAACATTTGGAGCCATCAAAGGAGTCCTGTTGGGAGCCCTGTTTTATTACAACCAGAGCATCCGCCGGGCGGCTGCGGCTCGTCCACGTTATTCTTTGGCTCCTGCAGGCTTTGAAGTGTCTATGGAACCTGACCTAGAGAACAGCAGGCAGGAACATCCTGCCAGTTTCCCTGGAAATGGAGATATTGTTTCCAATCAGGCTCTTGTTCCCTTGTCCTTGGCCCTGGTCACGATCACTGCACAAAGAAGGTTTTTAAGGCTACTCTCCTGGTACCAGGGTGGGTAGGAGGGACCAGCTTGCAGACCTCAAGCTCACATCTGGAGCAGAGAAGCTCAGGAGGGGAAGCTGGCTGAAGCAGGAGGGAAGATTTCATGAGGGTGACCTCTATTCATCGTCTTATAAACTCATGTTGAGCTCCTTGAATGTGCCAGTAGGCCTGACCCTCAATGAAGCAAATACCAAGATTCTACCCAGCTCTCAAAAAAGATAAAAGTAACTCCAATTTGATGAGAACTTACAATAGATAGACACTCACTAAGTAATTTATTAGAGGTTATTTTTCTTAATCATCACAACAACTCTGAAGAGTATTACTATTTTTATTCTCATTTTATAGATGAGGAAGGAACCGGAAACTGAGACCCAAAGAGGTTAAGAAATAGGCCAAGAGTCAGATAGTAAGCACCAGGATTTGAACCAAGACCGTCTAATTTCTGAGCTCACAAGCTTAACTATATCACTATAAGGATTTGCTGCTCAGGCCACTGTGAGATTTAAACTCCCTTCCCACCACACTACATCTCTATCCCCTCCCCTCACATGAACCACATGCCTCACCACATTTCAAGTAGCTAGAGTTGTCACAAGCCTCTGCTTCCCCCTGAGAGGTAACCCGGTGGACATGGGATAAGAAGCAAGGCCACAATAACGTCTGCAAGTATTTCAGCATCTATGGGGCTGAAACTCCCTGTCCCAGATGCTGCCATTAAAATCGATGCTAGAATGAGAGAAAGAAACTGAGCCAGGGAGAATTTTTTTTTTTTTCCTATTTCCCTTCATAGCCAGGCCAAATGTTCTCACTGCTGAGAGATAGGAGACACTTTGCCTGCTGGGGATCTGGGCTTAGATCCCAGAGGTTGCCTTTGCACCTGGAACTCAGAGAACAGCCACATCCAAGCTGTCACATCAGAACTCTATTTGTGACTCTCACAGCGCTGAAGAAGCTCCATGAGTGCATAGGCAGCAATGTCTTCACATTTGTATCCCCCCAGAGCCTGGGTATCACTGGAGGCGGCACATTGGCCTTGAGTGGAGAGGACCACAGTGTTTAAAGACTCGGGTTCTAGAATCCAGCAGAGCAGAGTTCAACTGCTGGCTCTTTCACCTACAATTGTGTGAAGTCAGGCTAATGACTGCTCCTGTTTACACCCAGTCTCCTTATCTGTAAAATGAAGGGAAGGAAACCCACTTCTCAAGGTCAGTGTGAGGATGAAATGGGCTCTTAAATATGGACCACTTGGTACATATTTGTAAATGCAGTGTGTACTTGTTCATGTTAAGATTCCCATTTCCTGCCCTCCTCCTTCAGAAGCCATAACCTAAGGATATGGCCCTGCAGCTGGGACCAAGGGATGCTGGACAGAGGAACAGGATGAGGAACTATAAAAGAATTTTTTAAATTACCCCTTCCCTGGGGCATTTACCTGACCCCCAGCAGAGGCACACCTCCTGGTGCTGATATGTGCTTGATCAGAAGAGTTGAAAAATGACTCTGAGTGTTTTGCTTCTGGAGGGTTCTACTTGGGAATCTGAGTAGAAAACCCCATAAAAGACAGCTCCACTGACTGACTGGTTATACTAGGACTTTTAAGTCCATAGGAAACCAATGACAGGGTTTGCAGACCCCAAATGTGACCTATTAAGTAGCCAATGTGTATTCCATGGGGACATAGTCTCCATCTACAAGGGTTATGAACAGGACTATGTTACCCTCTTTTTTTTCTTATCAGCAATGCCTCCCCCACTACTAGCCACCTGGTCTTTCTTTAAACTCAAGCTGACTCCTCACCCAGACCCATGTCATTTCCAGTGTGCCAGGCGTGATTTCTCTCTTCTCAGGATCTACCATCTAGTAGCATAATAAGTTGAAGTTTTAGGATTCCATTTTGGGGCACTAACCATAGTAAGCTCCAAGAGCCATCACATCTCTGTCTGAGCTTCCATTTTACCTGAACTGGGGAAATTAGCTTTTATCTCTTGCAATGAGGACCATATATGAGAGCGTGAGAAAAAGACGTCAGCATAAGAATGTAGTGTGAGTTCAGAGAAGAGATAATAAGCATGTATAGGGCATCAGATATATTACAGTCCATGTACTAAGCACTTAATATATAGCACCTTATTCAAACCTCACCCCCCCCACCAAAAAGCAATAATTCTCTCCATGTTAGAGATTAGGTAAGCGAGGTTCAAAGAGGTTAAATACTTTGTCACATTGCTGGGAAGTAGTGAAGCCACAATTAAAGTTCTGATCTGATTCAATCTAGAGCCAGAACTCTTAAGAGCCCTTAAGTAACTGCTAAGAAGCTCAATTTATTAATTCCCTATCAGTCATTCTTGCAAAGATAATGATGATCATTGGTGCCGTCCGTGGTGGGAGACGGTTTCTAGCGCGCCTGCAAGAAGAGGGTCGCAAGCAGCTCTCTCCAGCCCCATATGTGACTGCCTCTTTCTTTGCAGTCCATCTCTACAAGTGTGCAGCCCAACGGGAGAGCTGTGGCCTCTGCCTTAAGGCCGACCGGAAGTTCGAGTGCGGCTGGTGCAGCGGTGAGCGCAGGTGCACACTTCAACAGCACTGTACCAGCCCCTCCAGCCCCTGGCTTGACTGGTCCAGCCACAATGTCAAGTGCTCCAATCCCCAAATCACTGAGGTAAGTTCCCCTAGTTCCCAGAGCAAGAAGGGACATCCAGGAGTCGACCACAGAACAGCAGGAGAGGAATACAAGCTAAACCTTTGTGGACAAATTCCTGATGTAGAGTGAGTTTAATGTGAGGGTGTAAAAAACTTCTCCTGTGTCTCGATGACTCTTTCCAGGCATAAGTCACAAGTGTGCGGAAGTGCGTCCTCATGCCTGTGCATGAATGTTCTAGCACGTTGGTGTGCACGTGCACACGACAAGGGAAGCAGAGCCAGCCCAGTCTCCCTGCCAGCCTGGCTGAGCCAGGTGAGGATGAGAAATTGGCTCCATGGTGGGTGAATATTTCAGAAAACAGATTTTGCTTTTCTCAGCAGAAATGTGATTTTAGGAGCTGCAATTTGCTCAGAGTTGCAAAGCTGAAAACGGAAGAAGAAAGTAAAGGCAGGCACTACATTAGCTATCGTGCCATTTCCCAGGATTTGCCCTCTGTCTCAGTTTGCTCGTACATTTTAACAGAAAGAAATAGGAAATTAATTATCCTGAAAAGAAAATGTTTCCAAAATAGCAAATTGCAAAGGAAGATGAATAGAGGATATGAATGAAAATGCAGTTACTGGGGTTTTGAATGGCCTGGGAGAGGAGTAGCTGTACTTAACTTTGGTTGCGTTCTGTTTTCCCTCTTCACAGCTTCCTATTCAACAGCTGTCACTCATGCTTTGAAACTAATTGCACATTTCTGATGGTGACTAGGAGGAATAAAGGCTCGGCAGGTAGCCCTGTGGTCTGCACATTTAAGAAAGCAGGAAAGGGCTGCTCCTTTTCTGCCTCTTCCCTGAGCTGATGCACAGTCCCTCTCCCTGCTGCATGTTCCCTACTAGCCAAAGAAGGCAACTCTGCTTCTTACTTATGTCATAGGATATTGGAAAACTTCTAGAGCATCCCTATGATCATATTGAAGCTTCAGGTCTGTTTTTGAAAGAAACCCTCAAGATTGAATGGGTACTGTTAACCTTCAGATGGGTTATTTGAAGAGGTAGCAAATACGAATTTAATGTGTTTGGCAGTTACATTTAATCCGCACAGCAACCATGGGAAGTAAGTATTCCCACTTCCACTGTAGAGATAAGAATATGAGGCTCAGAGAGATTGAGTGACATGCCCAACCTCACACACCTGAAAGTGGTAGAGCCAGTATGTGTGCTCACCTTTATTTAATTATAAAAACGTTTTAAAATTCTCTACAGTTTTCCCAAATAACCCAACAAGAAGTGGTGCTTCCCTTTCCCTAACGTCCAGACCTGTCCTAGCAGGTATAGACCAGATAGATATGACCCATCCACATGGTGACATAGCTCAGGGAATGTACAGTGCAATCTGTGACTAGATAGCTGTGACCAGATATGGCCAGACAGATGTGACCCACCCACATGGTATCCCAAAGATAGTGTGAATACTGTCTGTGGGAGAGTGTTTACTGCATCTAGGCCCTCATTCACCTGCATAGGAAGATGTTATGAAAGTGTAGACACCGGCCTTCAAAGACAGGGCTACTGCAATTCCATTTTTTTTTTTTTAACTGGAATCTCACTCTGTCACCCAGGCCGGAGTGCAGTGACACACTCATGGCCACCCCAGCTCAACTGCTGGGCTCCAGCGATCCTTCCAGCTCAGCCTTCCAAGTAGCCAGAACTACAGGCATGCACTACCATGCCCGGCTAATTTTTTGATATATTGTAGAGACGAGGTCTCACCAAGTTGCCTGGGCTGGTCTCGAACCTGCGGGTTCAGGCAATCCACTCCCCTTGGCCTCCCAAAGTGCTGGGATTACAGGCTGAGCCACCAAGCCCAACCCCCATTTTATTCTTGACTGTGGCCACTGACAGTGCCTCCTAACTTTGTCCCATGTCTTTATGTCTCTGGAAGAGAATGTCTGTAGTGGCTGTTGGCTGTGCCCCAGTGTCTGCCCTCAGACAGCTAGCTTCCTGAGCTGCTCAGGGCTCCGTGCCTTCTCCCAGATTCTAGTGATTTCTGGCCACTGCGGGCCGGAGAACTTACACCGTTCTGTAATTCTTCTTGCTGCTGCAGTTGTCAGTCTCTTCATCTGTGAGCACCTGTGGTATGGGGGAGCTTAAATTAGGCAGGGATTTGCTTCCTCGGCACCTCCTGCCTCTACCAGCCTCAGCGGCTGCATCTGCTCCCCAGCCAGACCCCTTCCCAGCCCCAAGGCGATCTCCTCACTGACAAACCTCTGCCTCAGCCATCCCTGCTCACTGACCGGGGACTGACAGGCTGCTCTGTTCACAGAGGACACCCAAGCTACACAAGGCTAATTAACCCCCTGAGGTAATTAGGCTGTAATTGATTTTCCCAGTGAACATATCAGCAGGAATCGGAGGCCCCAATCTCCTGCTGGTGTTTTTCAAGGCGAGGCTATTGAGAAATGAGAGTGTCTTTGGGGAGAGACAAATCTATGCTGTGTCCCAAGCCACTCAGGGGACATCATTCTGGATAGGACATGGGAGAAGGAGTATCCAGGCCTGGAATGTTTTATTCACTATTTTCTGGACTATTTTCTTTCCTTTGGCATCTCCTACCTCTACCTGATCCTCCTCTCCCTATAAAAATCACTTTCTCTTACTTTAACTTCTCATTTTTAAAATAATTTTAGACTTGTAAAAAGGTACAAAAATAGTACAAAGAACTTTCATATACGCTTCACCCAGATTTTCCATAGTTAACATCTTACATAACCATAGTATAATTATCAAAATTAGAAAATTAGCATTGATACAATGACACCATCTAATATACATGTCTTATTATCATTTTACCAATTGTCCCACTGATGTCCTTTTTCCAGTACAAGATCCAGTCCAGGATCCCATGTGACATTCCATTGTCATGTCTCCTTAGTCCTTTAATCCCCAGTCTTTTTTTGTCTCTCATGACCTTGATACTATTGAAGAGAACAGGATACTTATTTTGTAGAATGTTCCTCAATTTGCACTTGTCTAATGCTTCCTCATGATTAAATTCAGGTTATATATTTTTGGCAAGGAGTACTTTAAAAATGTGCATTACATGTCAAAAGGGCACAGGAGGCAATTTAAAGGGGATTCCAAAGGCCAAACCTGGGCAATTTGAGCAGGAACATAAAAATGATTGTCGTGGACTTTATCAATAGAATAAGAATCCATGGTCCATATTGATATCAAGAAATAAACAAACAAACAAGTGAAAAAATAATGAGGGAGAGGGAAAGCTCCTCTTTACACTAGAATTCCAACTAACAAATGGAGAAGGGATTATGGAAATAGAAATCACCATTTGGCAAAGCACTCCGTAATAAGTGTTTCAGGCAAAGAATGATCAATGGATACTAAAATTAGTAGATGAAAGTAAGATGAGAAACAGATATTTACATAGCTTTAAGAGAGCCTTCCCATAAGTAACTTATTATAATAAGAACAGTAGTAACTGGGCAGTGAAGAAACATGGTAGATCTCACCTCAACCAACTGATCAAAATAAATAAAACCAGGAGTGGGAAAAAATCAGCCTTGTGGGTAAGTGTTACTGTGACTCCTGCCCCAGATATGTCTTAAAGCTATCAGACTTGATTCAGTTGTTTGTTGGCCTGTGCCTTTTAATAGAATGCTCCAAGAAGGGCACAGCCTCACTTCTATGGCGTTTTTGGCAAGAATGTGTACTTTGTTAAAAGTAACCTTTAAGGAGACACAACTCATTGTCTTTACTTCAGCTTTCTTGGCTAATCCCTGAACACTGGCATGGATCTTTTTTCTAAACCTCTGAATCATCTGAATTCTATGAGCTCACATCCTCTTATGCATACCTCCTTGTCTCTGGCCCTTATCCTCAGAATGTGTACCTTCCTAGGTGCAGCCACCTGGTGCAGGAAACATAAGCCACTTATTACAGACATCCTTCTTGAGGGGTGGAAAGAGAAGGATTCTGCAATGGCCTGTGATGGCTGCTGGGGCTGGCAGAATTTCCAGTCCTGGAAATAGGTGTGAGTGGGAATAGGTGCTGTCCTACCTGGGAGCAGAGAAACAAATGAAACGACCTCAAAGGAGTTCTACTTTAGGAAAAGGGGTAGGCACACAGGTGGTTAGATAAACAGCTGTGTTCTTCCTTAACCCTTCCTTACCCCTATCGTCTCCATGGCAACCAAGTTCACCCCTAGAGACCCATCTCTTATGGCAGCTTCATGTAGGACAAGTTGTACAGATGATTGAATTTCTCAGTTTGCATAAACTTCAGGTTAGGACCCCCTCAGGACTCACCGTCTGCTTCTTCTCAGCTGGCATGTGGTGTGATAATGATGCTGTCCCCCATGGGAGGCATCCCAGGCTGCTCCCATTTCCAGCTGTCATTCTGGGCATCTATAGACATGTCACCTGTTCAACTCTAGGAACGGAAGACATACAGAGGACTAGAAAGCCCATGAGATGCCTGACCTGCCATGTGTTGGTTCTCCCCAGCCTGTTCTTCAGTACCTCCTGGGACCTCAAAGACCAGGATGTTAAGAGCCACCCACTGGAAAGCAAGGCCCAGAGAAAACATTTCCTAAGAAGTATGAGTGAGCAGGATCCAGCAGAAAGGGAAAGGAGACTGAATATGTTCTCAGGAAAATAAACACAGGGAGGATAAAGGGTCTTTGGCACTAACATAACAGAAATCTTCACTCAAATGAGCGCACCAGTTTTGTAGGGCAGCCATGACAAAGTACCACAAACAAGGAGGTTTAAATAGCCTGAACGTATTTTCTCAAAGTTCTGGAGGCAAGAAGTCCAAGATCAAGGAGTCAGCATCATGGTTTCCTTCTAAGGGCCATGAGGGAGAATCTATTCTTGGCTTCTCTGCTATTTTCTGGTAGTTTCTGGCTTCTTTGGCTTGGTAGAAGCATCAACTTGACAATGCCTTCATGTTCACAGGTCATTCTAACTGTATGTCTGTCGCTCCAATCTTTTTAGTAAGGACTTAACCATATTG